CAGCATGTAAAATCTAAGCTCAGTGATCAGAAACCTTTAACACTACCCTGTTTCTTTTTGTGCAATTACTGTATTGAATTCGTATGTATATTTGGAACCTTCCCTGAGCTTATGTTGAGTTCTTCTCCCTTAGTTCAGTTTTGTGGCATTTAGTTGTTAGATTCTGATAGAGTTGCTCTTAAAGCTTGTCAGTATTTTTGGTTATGACTTGGTTTATCCTGTAACTTCCTATTTCCAGGGTCTGTTCTGGTATAGCTCACTTGTGAACGTGACTGTAGTTGTAAACTTAAACTACTTGGGCTTATATAAAACTTTTTAGATCAACTTTTTATGAGCAAGTAGCATTACTGCTGCAGTCAGAGCATTGTTCCCTTTTTTGGAAAGCTGCAGTCTACAGAGAATGAAGAGTTAGTGTCCTGCAGTTGATAAACTTGAGAGTTTTATTAAGGGACTTTATATTGGCATAAATTCTGCAACCCTATAATAAATGTTTCTCTAAAACTTTGGTGTTTGTGTTGTGTTTGTTGCTCAGAGGTGATGGGGGCGATGCTGTGGGCCTGGGGCAGTGTGCATTGCTCTTCTCTTACCCCTCTTACTTCTTTTTGAGCTTCTGAAGCTGAATTCCTCTTCCTGCTGCTGTGGAAATGCTTTGTGGTGCCAGACAAGCTCGAGGAACAGAGGGAAGAACAGAAGCTCCCTCCAAACAGGATCCCCAGGGACAGCTCAGGGGCTGTTCACTGCAAGGGCAGGATGTATTTACAATTCATTTGAATATTGTTGGTGATGAGGCTGGGATTGAAGGTTTGCCTGTCTCAGAGTGTTCGTGGGTGTTAATGAGGGGCTGTACAGAGGTTAATGAGCCCTCAGCTCTGACCCTGAGCTTTGCTGGAAGCTCAGACAGGAGAGTCCTGTCCTCAAAGTGCTGGGGCTCAGAGCTGAAGTGTTGCTGAACCCTTGTGGCTTTCCTGGAAAGTGCCTGGGATTGTGCAGCTGGAAGGAAAAGCAGGATTTCTGCACAGAGAACAGTGGGGAGGGAGAGGTGCCCTCATAGGAGCTGCTCATTGTTCAGGAAACTGCAGGAGAAAGGAGAGCACAGGAATTTTAGCATAAACTAACACAGCTCTTCCCCCAAGGATGTGTCCCACAACCAGAGCTCTGTCTCTAAAATAGGGTGTGTAGGAGAGTATTTCAGTAAATTGAAGTCTATAGTGAAATAAAATGCTGTAGGAAGCTCTAATCCTGTCACTGAGCCAGGATCCCTTCACTCACACCTCTTACTGGGAGAAGCAGCTGCACTGGCAGGTTTTTCCTTTAGACTTTGTGTCCTTGGATAAGGGGTGATCTGCTCCTCTGGACTGGCTGGGGAATAACCAGAATGGGTTCTTTTGGAAGCCTTGACCACAAAGACTTGGAGATGGGTTGGTTGTAGAGAGCAAGAAGCACCTGCTTGTAGAATTGAGGTCTGATTTCATGGAAAATAAAACCCAGGAATTGTTTTTTTCCAGCTCCATGTCTAGGCAGTGGATGCTGGACCTGCTTCCACACGGGCTGGAACACTTTCTGTACCTTTGGAATGAAGTGAAGTCATTTCTTTAAGATGTTATTGGATATTCCAGGCAGGGAGCCAGGGACAGGAGGAACAGATTGTTCTCACCTGCTCTGAGGTGAGCAGGGAGCTGGGTTTGGTCCCACGTGTGCTCTTCTGGCCTTGAGGTCTATCCATAAGTATTTTAGGCTGGGGCTGGGTGTCCAAGCCAAAATATTGGTATTTTAAAGTATTCCTGGGATCTTCTAATGCTCTGTTTGGCTTTGAGCAGCTCCTGTGTTCAGCTGGGGTATAGAAACAGGGAGGAACATGAGTTGGAGGCGTCCTTTGGACCAGTAGATGGCACAGGCAGCAAACACTTGGGTGTAAATGGTGTGTAACTGGTAGAAACTTGGTGTATTCACCCAACAGACAGTTTTTCAGCTATTTTACCAAAATGAAACCTAAAAACGGTTTGATCAAAGCTTTATCTAGCTGGTGCTCAGTGTCTTTGCTTAGTTTTTATCTATGGTAAGGAACATTTTTATAATAGAACTCACCTGTGTAAAACCCTGTCAATATCTGAGTAGAACTGTACTGCAGACATGGGTGTGGTGTCCGAGGGGGTGACACTGCCGGGATGCAAATGCAAACTCAATTATTGTAAGAGCTTCATTTACATCTGTGTTTACTGCAAAAGCATCCTGTGGGCACGGGACAATCAGCAGGATCTCTGCAGGGATTTGGGGCAGCTGGCAGGTTCATTTTCTGACCCTAAAAGTTCAAAATTAGATGTAAATTTTAAATACCTTTATCAATGTGAAGCTGGCAATGCAGTGCTTTGGATATTTCCTCTTCCAGTATTACATGTGAGTTCATTTGGGTTTTTTTTTTTTAATCAGAAAAACACATGAGAAAAAAATTATTAAGAACACAGTTGATTTTGGTTCTCAGAGGAGATGATGTTGCCCTTTGCAGAACCTGCTGCTCTGTGTGACTGCTGAGGTGTGGGTGGCTGTGGTGGCAGACTCTTCCATTAGAGTATGTAATGATCTAAATTAGAACTTCAGTCTCCTCCAAGCTTACTGTTCATAAAAATCTATAAAAATTGAATTTCTTTGCATATATAAGTATCTTGAGAGGAAGATCTAGAGAATTAAAAATAGGGATAGTGTGGAGACCTTTGGAAGACACCCACCCTGCGGCCTTAGGGTGGTATGAAAAAGAGCTTTAGCACCTCAGACTTGATAAACTGCTTGTCTAAAGCATGCTTTTCTGGCAATAAGCTCAGCTCTGTGCAGGGCCTGGTGCAGAACAGCTGTGCTTGATGTGGCAGTGAGAGATTGTCACCTCCCACTCCCAGCAGCACTCCCAGGGTTTGTGCTGGGGGACAAAGAGCCTGCTGCAACTCCAGCAAGACTGGGCTGGAGTCCTGTGGGCTTTGTTGGTTCTTGGAAAATCCCCAAAATCCAGCTGTGCTCAGCAGAGTCTGGGGTGAGTGAGGGCTGAAGTCTCAGCACTCAGCACCCTGGACCTGTAGAGAACCCATGTACCAAAATCTCAGGATATTTGGGTTGGAAGGGACCTTAAAACTCATCCTCTCCCACGGGCTGGGACACCTTCCACTACTCCAGGCTGCTCCAAGCCCCATCCAGCCTGGCCTTGGGCACTAATTTCTCCTGTATATCCAAATTTCCCATCTTTCAGTGTGAACCCAATCCCCCTTGTCCTGGTGAGCATTCCCTCTCCAGCTTCCTTGTAGCCCCTTCAGATGCTGGAAGGTCTCTTCTTCCAGAACCTTCTCCGGGCAGAACAGCCCCAGCTCTCACAGCCTGTCTCCACAGGGGAGGTGCTGCAGCCCCTTTACAACTCGGCCTCCTCTGGCCTCATTCCAACATCTCCGTGTCCTTCTGATGCTGGGGACACCAGCCCTGGACACAGCACTGCAGCCCCCAAAACCTCCTCTTTGTGGCTGAATTACACTCCTGGGAGGGCTGAGCTCCAGGTCAGGCTTGGAAGGATTAAAGCTGCTTTGCCTGTCCTAATTCCAGGCCGGGTGGGGGATGGCCCTGCTGCCAGCTGTGGCACAGAGCCCAAATGCCAACACTGATTGAAGCTTCCAGGCTGCCACCAAAATAATTACAATATGGATAATTACAGTAACATTATTGCATTAACATTATTTCTTCATTATGAGTATATATTTGTGATATTACCTAGGCAATAGGATGGGTGTATTTCCTGTCTTGAGAGTAATTAGAGGCTCTCCACCTACCACACCACCTCCCAGGGAAATTATTTCTTACAGTTCAACTATTCTGTTTACTTGAATGTGTTTTCTCTCTTTTTGTGCTGTGACAGCCTTGAGTTCCACCTTAACAGATATAAGAGTGAATTTCCTGTCTGCAGACTCATTCTCGCTGTGGATGGTGGTTTGTGTCTTGCAGAAATGTTTAAGTTCTCCTGAGCTGTTCATTTTAGGGCTTGTTGATGTTTGGAGCTGTTGTGGGTTAAATCCATGGGTGGACACCTGATTTTGGAATAAGGAACTTCCTTCCCACAGACCTAATCCCTTGTTGGTGTGGAACCCAGTGTTTTTATTCTGGAATGAGAGTGTCAGCATGTGGGATTCATCAGGAATGGATCCATGGATGGAGGAGGTTTAGACGGGATATTAGGAAGAAATCCTTCCCTGTGAGGGTGGGCAGGCCCTGGCACAGGGGGGCCAGGGAAGCTGTGGCTGCCCCTGGATCCCTGGAAATGTCCAAGGCCCAGGCTGGATGGAGCTTGGATCACCCTGGGCTAGTGGAAGGTCTCCCTGCCCATGGCAGGGGATGGAATGAGATCCCCTTAAAGATCCCTTCCCACCCAAGCCATGCCATGGTTCTGTGGATAATCCTGTACCTTCCACCTGATGCCCCAAAATCCCCTGGGAGGGAAGGGCTGTGGAGGGTGTGTGGTTCTGTGGGGTGATGATCTCAGTGGTCACTTGGTGATAAGTAATTCACTCCTTCAGATTCTCTGCCCTTGGTGGTCGTAGCTGTTGTCATCTCATTTTCTCAGCCCTTTGCACTAATTAATCCTTAATTTTTTTAAAAGTAAGAGTGATGTTGAAGCTCCACTTCACCCTACCCTTCCCTTACCAGTGTGCCTTCTCACCCAGCCTGAAGCTGGAAGCAGTCACAGCTTTGCCTCCTCATCTCATGACCAAAAAAACCCCAAACAAGGCGGGAGGCTCAGACTTTCACACACCCCAAGGCCGACACTTCCGTGGTGAGCGGGGCTGCTGCTGCTCCGTGCCCATGAGCAGCCCCGGGGAGGGGGTGCACAGGAAGGGCTCTGTGCTTATCAGATCTGTCTGTGCCTCACCTTGAGCTGCCTCCCCGTGGGGAGGAGCCCTCCTGCTCCCCTTACCTCTCCTGTGCTGTGGCAGGGCACTGCTGGATCCCTGCAGGATGCTCCAAAGCCACAGCTTCTCTTCCCTCCCATCTCCAAGGGATTGCCATGGGGAGGCTGCTCTGGTGCAGGTGGCTGAGCACAGCTCACCCCAGGATTGCTGCCTGCTGGGGCCTTTCTCAGGCCCTGTTCTCCCCGTGGATCGAGACCCTTGATTGAGGGAAAATCAAACCTGTGGCTGGCTGAGGGAAAAGTGAGCTCCAGATCTTCACAGCCTTTAGAATCCCCGAATGGTTTGGGTTGGAAGGAACCTTAAAGCCCAAGTTCCAGACCCCTGCCAGTTCACCTCCCACTAGACCAGGCTCCTAGACCAGAAACACTTTATGTTTCACCAATAAATATCCCATTTGCAGATATACTGGATAACACCTTTATCCTTTTGCAGACCCCTATATCCCAAATATTTGTTGTTTCTCAGTGGAGCTGATGGTTTCCTTCCACAAAACCCTTCATTCTGCTTTCAGTATAATTTGATTTTCTTGGGTTTTTTTGTGTTTTCATTTATATTTTCTTTTTAAAAACCAACCAAAACCCTCTGGTGCTTGAAGGCAAGATGTGTCCTCGCTGCAGAGCTGGGATTACAGCAGAGCATAGTGATGATCTGAACCAGATCTCACCAGGGATTTGAAGTCCCATTAGAGACTCTTGGGCTGGGGCAGACGAGCCCAGAGGGAGAAATTTTGGGTGAAGGAACTCAAGGAGCAGCATGACATCAATGTGGGCAGTGCTGCTGTTCTTTTTGGCTTTGGGATGGTGCTGTTTTAGGATTTTTAGGCTGTTGAGCAGCAGGAACAGGCTGGGCTTTGATGGTTTGTGTTGATTCACTTAAATAAGAAATCTCATTCAAACAGAACCTCACAGCTCTCTGAGTTTCAGCTTCTGTTTCACTCAGGTCTCCTGGGAATTTTCTCTGGAGCTGTGCAGATGTTTGCATGACCACAGGAAGTACCCTGTCCTTAAATATCCAGTGTGCTGTGACTGTGGATGGGTCCCAGATAATGGCACTGCTCACAGGACTGGTGATCTGACAGCACATGAGGGAAACGAGTCAGCCAAAACAAGAGCTTGGGTGGGTTAAATTCTTTAAAATACATTTTTTCCCTTGGGACTTGTGGGAATCCAAGTGGGGAGGCAAAGCTGGACATTGTGGGTGGTAAAAGCCATGACCTTCCATGAGCTGGAGCCTCACCAAGATATTCCCTTTTCACAGCCCTGTTGGGCCCCTGGGAAAACGGGAGATGAGTTAAGAGAGTGGTTCCTTCTCACAATTCCTTATGGCACTCAGTCACATCACTGTGTTCATCCTGCCTTTGCTGGTTGCTTGGACTTTTCATTTTCTTCCCTGAATTTGTGGGGGAAAAAAGTAAACTTGAGCAAAAACGGTGTTGAAAATTATTACCTTGATGACTGTAGCTCAACCTCATGGTGAGCATGGAGGTGGACCATAGTGACCTGACCTCCAAGGAACTTCCTTCTCCTCCTCCTCCCTTTAACCTCATGGCTCCTCTGGGTAGCCCAGAGCAAACACTGGCCCTGATGGGGTCAGTGTGACCTGAGAGACAGGAACAGAGCTGGAAGCAGGAACCAGAACCAGGTCTTCACCTCTGAGGCAATGACATTACTACATTTTATCTCTATTATTTTGTGTTCATGGCTTTACATAACCGAACCTTTTTTCTAAATCAGATTTTTTGGCCACAGCTGTAGATCATGTAGATCAAATTCTCAGAGTTTATCACCCCAAAGGCTGCAGCTCCTCTGCCCTGACTTAACTGGCAGCATGAAGCAGGCACTGCCCTGATGGATCTAGCTTATTTTTGGTCATGGTGTTTATCAAAACATCTCTGACAAGATCTTAGCTTTTTATTTTTGTGTTGAATGGGGTGGGATCATATTTGGGTCACTCTCTGGAGGTGGTTTTTAGTTATTGAGGTCTGAGGAGCAGAGTCCAGCAGTGCCAGGGGTGCTCTGTGTGTGCATTTACACCCCACGAGCTGGGCCGAGGCTCGTTTTTAACAGCAAAGTGAAAAAGGAAGTAAAAAGTGCAGTAAAATGTGTCAAAGCTGCCTTAACCCCAGCAGGAAAATCTAATGAGTTACAGAGAAATGGGGACTCTGCTCAGGATGTTGAGCAACCGTGTGACAAAACAGCAAATAAAACAGTGCTGGTAAAAGAAAAGATGTGTGAGAGGACAAAAATTCTGCTTAGGTAAGAGAAGCTGTAAATCAGCCCTTTTCATGGCCAGAAGAGATCTCTGGGATTCCATGGATGGCTCGTGGTGATGGCAGAGGATGAGGAGGGCACTGGAAGTGGTGGAGGAGACATGGCCTGGGGCAGGGGTGGCTGGGGGTGTCACCTGCCCCGAGGCTGGGGCACAAATCCTGCAGGAGGAAGGGACAGCCAAGGGTGTCGTCACGGGAAATGACGTGGAACTAAAGCAGGGAATTCATCAGGGATATTGGGGTGCAGGATGGGATGGGATGGGATTGGGGATGGGATTGGGGATGGGATTGGGGATGGGATGGGATTGGGGACGGGAAGGGAAGGGAAGGGAAGGGAAGGGAAGGGAAGGGAAGGGAAGGGAGCTGTGCTCCCACTGCTGTGCCAGCTGTCACATGCCAGGGCAGCTCTGACATGCACAAATCCCCAAGGAAGCTGCTGGGTCTCGTGCCCGAGGGGGATGAGAGGCTGTGCAGCTGGGCTGGGAGCACAGGGAACGTGATGGGAGCGGGGCAAGGTGGGAGCAGACCCAGAACTCTGCTTCTCCCTGACCCCACCACCCTCACCCACCTTGTGCCATGTGTGAGTAAGACTCCCAAAACACTCTGTGCTCATTCTGAGCAGCTCAAGCTCCCCAAGCACCCCTCAAACCACCCCTGAGGCTGCACTCTTGCCACAGTGGCTCTCCTTTGGCCCAGCAGGAATTAAAACTGATTCTTTGCCTAAAAGCCACTTCTCATTTCAGCACAGAGCCAGCCTGGTGAGGGCACTGGCAGAGACCTCAGTGCTTGCTGCTCAGTGATAACAATGCCCTGGGGAGGGCAAACAGAGGAAACCCTTCCTGCAAAATAAAGGGGATATTTTGGGGGTTTTTGTTCTCGGTTACATTCTCATTCAGATTCCCATTCCAGTGCTGCACTCCAGATTATTCAGATTATTTTAGAGACTCACAGAATATGCTGAGTTAGAAGGGACTCCTTCCTAATGATCATTGAGTCCAGCTCATGAATCCTGAGACACTAAAAATACAGGGGCATGGCAGAAATACCCACAGCATGAAAATCCAACTCCTGGAAATCTAAGGAACATCCTGACTCTGCACTTGTTGGTGGCAGCATCCCCAGGGGCCTGTGAGACCTCAGGGTGTCCCCAGCAGATGCCACCTGGAGCAGAGGTGCCCTGGGGGAGGGCAGGGAGGTGTCCCCTGAAATCATCTTGTGTCACTAACCCTGACCATTGCACCAACCTCCTGCAGAAAAGATAATTAACACTCATTTGAATAAGCCCCGTTGCCGTGGCAGGGGGGAAGATGCTGCTGCACCCACGGGATTTTCTGGGTGGAAAATTTTCAGCTGCTTGAGGTTTCTGTCACTGAACAATTTCTGAACTTCTGACACCGTTTTATGTAACAACCTTTTCTCCCTCAGGAGCTGAAAGTGACTCTGGGGGGGTTGGACAGGGCCACCCTGGTCCCCTCCCATGGTGGCCAGAAAGGACAGGGATGGATTGGATTCCTGCAGCTGGAGGAATTCCCGTTATCCTGGGAAATCTGTCCCTTTGACTTCTGTCCCCAGTGCAAGAAGAAGAGTAAAATAATTTCAGAGAAGCATGTAAAATGTTCTAAAGGCCCTCAAGAAGCATCAAATCCAGGTGCTGCCACATGTTTATGTGTATTGGTGATGCAGGGGGGAGAAAGGGCCAAGAATCAGATTTAAAAAACATTTTTAGAAATGATTGTTTTATTATATACAACAGGAAGTATAAAAATAAATATTTTTTTTTTGGTCACTGTGAATGTGCTTTGTGGTTTCCATGAATTATCAGTGCTTGCTCAGCCATCAGGCACTGGCTCAGATTCCTGTAGGGAAGAGGTGGTGGAGTTTTCTTTATTATATGAAAAAGTTTTTGAAAAAAACCCAAACCTCTTGTGTTCTGGCACTCTCTGGGCTTCACGTCATTTTCCTACAATGTGTATGTCCCTTATATAAATTATAAAACAACATTTGCATAAATAAGAAATGATACTGGCACAGTATTTTACATTTCCAATGTTCACAGAAAAGTAACATTTTACAAGAAGGTGCAAATGAAATACCAAAGTCAGGCCCAAAATCTCTGTGGTTTGAATTTAAAGCAAATATTATCAACAAAGCATCCACCTTTGAGCCTTTCTTAAAAATCTCTTGTGGCACCTTTGATTTTGTTTCAGGGAGTTCCCATTACAGAGAACTTTGGGAAGGTTTGGATCCTCTGTTTGAATCCTGCTGCTGTTTGTGGGGAGTGGATGTGATGGCCCTGGGTCAGTTATCAGTGAAAGGAAATAATTTGCCCCATTTTTGGTGAAAAGAGGATCTGAAAGGCTCGATGGACACCTGGCTTGAATAAATACCCTCCAAGCACAACCACATGGTTCAAAACCCAGGGCATGGCTCTAACCCTTGTCTTTGCATCCAGAAGTGGGAACTGATGGCAGAAAAATAGTGTGTGGGATCTTCACTGGCTGTGATTTGGGGTGATGGCATTTGCTACACCCCCAAATGAGGCTTCATTAATTATTTAAATGGGAAGTCCTTTGGGGCCACCTTCTGCTCCTCACTCCGTGCTCAGCGTGGCTGGAGCAGGCTCTGGGCACTCTGGAGAATCAGTCTCTGCTGAATTGTCTCGTGCTTCAGAAACAGAGAATCTTGTGCCATCCAGTACTTTTTAGGATCAAATTCTTTCTGCACAGCAAGACTCCAGAATCTTTGCTGTTTCTTGCTGACCAGGACATGGTGCCATGTTGTGACAGTGGGGCTGGTGTCACCTCTCCCATGGGTCTGTGACCTCCTGCTGTCCAGCTGAGGAATGGAAATTCTCCTATTTATATTCAGTGAAAATTTGCACCTTAAGTATTAAATCAACACATTCCTGGTCAGGTTTGGGGGGAGGCAGGAGATTTTGTTTATTCCAAGCCTCACCAAAAGCAGAAGTTTGAATTGTTGTTCTCAGTGTCCTGAGGGAAAAAATTGTGTCAAAGGCCAAAATGTAATGAGTGTTGGAAGTGCTGGCAGCAGTTTGGGAAGGGCAGCTCTAGTATTCCGTGGTGTCCTCGCTGAGCACATCCCTGGAGTGCTTCCTGCCATAGCTGAGGTGCTGGAGCTGGATGCTGTCCTGCAGATCCTGCCTGGAGAGGCGTCTCCTGAACTCATCCGTGGTGAAGTAGTAGATGATGGGATCCACGCAGGAGTTGAGGCTGGCGAGGCACAAAGCCACGGCGTGGAACACCGAGATCTGCACGCAGCCCTCCCGGATCTGCCTGGTTTTCACAAAGAAATCCAGCGGGAAGCTGATGTGATAAGGTGCAAAGCAAATCAGGAACACCAGGGCGCAGGTGAGGATCATCTTTAAAGCCTTTTTCTTCTCGCCCAGGTCCCGGGAAGCAGAGTGCCTCTCTTTTAGTGATAAGATTGTCTTCCAGGAGCAGTACAGGACGATGAGCAGGGGGGTCACGAACCCCACCAACTCCGCTATGGTCATCAGCGTGATGGAGGTGGGGAGGTCGAGTTTCTTGATGGGAAGATCCACAAAACAGGTGTTTTTGTCATCCTGGTGCTGCATCCTGAGGAGTGGGAAAGGCAGGCAGCCCACACAGACCACGACCCAGCCCACGATGCTGATGTAGACATCACAGACACGCCGGCAGTCGCTGAATTTGAAGGGGTGCATGAGGAACAGGTACCTCCTCACGCTGATGCACACCAAGAAGTAGATGCTGGCGTACATGTTGACGTACTTCAGGTAGAAGCAGAGCATGCAGAGACCTCCTCCGAACTCCCAGGTGCCCGTCAGGTAGTAAAAAATCCTCAGGGGCAAGGACAGCACTTGTGATAAGTCAGCAATGGCTAAATTGATCATAAATATCACGGCCCTTTTAGTCTCTTTCATGTAGCCATAGAAGACCCACAAGGCCAGGGTGTTGCCGATGAGCCCGGGGATCAGGATCACCGTGTAGGTGACGGCGTAGTAGGGCTTGAGGTCTGGCTCGCTGCAGTTGGAGCTGTTGCTCATGGTTGTGCTCCGGCTCCGTGCTCAGCCCCGGCATCATAACCCGTCCATCCCGCCTGTCCTGCAGCCAGGGTGGCCTCGGGATCCAAAGGCCTGGAATCCGTGTGCGAGGCTCCGGTCACCGGCTCATCCTGGGGAGTTTTGGGGTGGGGGGAGTTAATTCCAGTCCTGCCCTGCTCATGCTCCTGGTCAGAGCTCGCTGGGGTCAGCTGCAGGATGGGCAGGAGGGATCCACACCGGGAAAAGCATTGCCATGTGCCCAGGTGGACAATTCCTCACCAGAGCTGTGTCACTGTCACCTTTTGGGTGGCATTTCAGCCTCTTCTCTCAACGCAGGGGTTCAACACCTGACGTGGCCCCGCAGCTGGAAGACAGAAAGGTTCACTCACTATTTTACTATTTTATTTTATATTTACTATTTTGCACTATTTTATACAATTTCTTACTTACTCGAGACATATCCTTACTTATAACTATAGGAACATAAGTTTATAACTTTTCTATTTAATGTCTGTGTACCTTTATCATTACATTGACCCAATCTCAGGCTGCGTTGTTGGGAGATGGGAGGGAATGGAGCAAGAGTTATGGGAGAGCTGGAAAGAGCTGGAGCATCTCTCCAGCAGAAATCCCTGTGGCTTTGGTGGTGATCAGCTCTTCTGCTGCCCTGTCCAGTGGAGGTGCAGAACCACCAAGGAATAAATAGAAACCATGTTCATTTTCTGCGGCAAACCTGGGGGTGTTGCTCTTCCTGTGTGCCAGGAAACAGTGCTGGGATGCTCTGGTAACCTGCCTCACCTCCCAAAAACTCCTGAGGGAAACACTCCCCTGGCTTCCCAGGAAAGCCCTCAGAGCATTCCCACCCTCCCCAGCTGCAGGTGACAGAAGGAAATCTGCTCCTCATGTAACCCATGTGCACACAAAATGGGGTGGAAGTACCAGGTCAGTGGTTTTCACCAAACCAGGGTCAACTTTTTAATTTCACCTTAAAAAATAGGGCATGAACCGTCCTTTGCACAACTACCTGCTTTTCATCCAATTTGACTTCCTCACAGCTGCTTTTTCTAAGCCTGTCCTTACCCACCGTGCACATCTGGGGCTGTTGGTAATACCAGAACTGGTTCTAAGGAGGCTGGAGGAGGATTTTATGTAAAACTGCAGGCCAAACAGGTGATGTTATCTGAATGTGTCAGACAAAAACCTCAGCCAGATCTGATAAATCTAGAGGAAATTCAGATCTCTGCCCAAGCCCTCTCAGGTTTGCCTTCAGCTTCCACATGAAGAATTATCCTGCAGGTCTAAGTGGGAGAAGTCTGTAGGTACCAACCCAGATGCCAAAGGCACATTTACTTAATCTAAAATGTTTTAATTCTTTTCATTTAACTTTTTTAAATTTTAAAGGTAAAATTACATCTGCTGCAGTCCCTGCTGGTTTTTTTTCCAGTGCTTAGGTACAAAAGGTACAAAAAACATTTATTAATGATGTTCAACACTTTTTGGTGTAATGGCACCAAAACTTTGAAGTAGATTTGGGTGGAAACAGAAAATCTGCCACAAAAGGAAACGTATTTACTTTTGTATTTTCTCTTGCCAAGGAGACTGAGATGTCTTCCTTCCTTCCTTTTAAAGAGAGAGCATCTAACTCAAGCAGTGGAGTAAAATGACTTGTGAAATGATCCTGTTATGCTTCAGGAGTGAAAATTAATAATACTTTTATTTTAACAGTTTTTCTTATCAATTTAAACTAGCTTGTCTCTCCTCTCCTGTTGGCAGGGGGTCCTGACACCCACACTTGATCATGCTCCTTTTCCTCTGGCTGCATTCCCAGGTGGGAAAACCATCCTTAACTCCACCTCTGGGCCATGGGACACACAGAGGGAAGGACAAACTGCTCCCCCAGCCCTTCCACACATCCATATCTTATTTTTCCTGCTGCCCCCCAGCTCCTGCCCTTCCCCATCCCCATCACACAGCAGCTTTCCAGCCTGGCCCTGGGGCAGGGAGGCACTTGCAGCACTTTCTGCCTCTCCCTGTGGCATGAAGGGGCTCAGCCAGGGCACCCAGGGGCACCCTCAGAGCTGGGGATGGGGTGTAAAAACTCAGCAATGTGAGAAATGGCGTTTTGGAAATCCCAAGCAGCAAAATCACAGAGTTCAGCGCCATGTGCTGTGTAAAAAACCAGCAGGATGCTAAAAAAAATCTCCAGAAAGAGGAAATTTGGGGTTGCATGCTCTGTGCTTGCTTCCCCCTCACTGCAAGGGGGTGGGTGACAGACTCTCCACAGACACAGCCTCCTTCTCCCCTGAACAGCTTTTCCCCCTGATTTTTCCATGGGTACCGCCCAAATCAGCTATGCTGGGGCACTGGATGAAGATTTGTGCCCAATGAAACAGAGCAGCAGGTAAGAGTTGCACATGGCAACTCTTAAATCAGCTTTCGGAGCTGTTAGAGCCCAAAATCAGCTGGTTAGAGCTGGGTACATCCTGGGTAAAGCATTTCCCATGTGCTGGAGGACCCTAACCCTAACCCAGAACCCCTGCAGGGGCTGGGGGTGTGGAGCAGCACCTTGCCCTGCTCACAGGTGGGCTCTGCCCCAAAGCCTCAGCAGAGCTCAGCAGTGCCCAGGCTCCTACCTGAGGCTGCTTAGAGGTGCCCAGTGTGTATCCTCGTTAGGAAATCCAGGGGGTTTTAACTCCTAAACCCCTCTGGGTGTGGGGGAGGCTTTGAGAGCAGCTCCTGTGGCTGCTG